TAGCCACTACCAGTTGCACCACGCCAGCGCTCCTCCTCACCCCAGGACCGCCACCCAGAACTTTGACCCAGATCCCAGCACGGTCAAAGCAAGAGAATCCTGCACCAGCAGAGAGATCCCTGCAATCCCCCTCTGTCTGTGGGCTGGAAGCTCAGGAGGCAGCCGCTGCCCCGAGGGCACACTCGGGACTTGTGGCTGAGACCTAGCTCCTTCTCTCACCACAGTCACAGACTTTTCCCACTGACCTTCTAAGTTGTCTTTGGCATTTGTGGGTTGAGAAGTCTGGAAACCGCCACAGCTGCCCGCGATTCAGTTCTCTGGGGCCTGCTCCAGGGCTGCTGTGGCCTGCACGCCCACACCAAACTGTGCTCCTCTCCCAGCCCGGAGCAATATACCTTTCTGATCAACCATTCAGGCTGTCTTGGGCTGGAAATTTGTTTCACTCTGTCTTTTTGTGGGTTCTGCTGCTTTAGAATTTGTTTAGAGCCATTTTTTATAGGTATTTGGAGGGGTTTGGGGGAGAGCTTAAGCAAGGCTTTTACTCTGCCATTTTGGCTCTGCCCCCGAAAAAGGAATATTTTTGAAGAGAATCTTTGTTATATGTTCACTGGGCAAAGAATGTTACAGATAGCATTTTTAGGTTTGCAATGTGCTTACCATATTTTAATTCATTTGATCCTCACAAAATCCGTTTTAGGGACATAGATTCTGCTAATTAAAGAGCAGTCATAAATGAAGATGAAACATTTCCAAGATGATAATATAACATTGAGGAAATATCATTTTTGTATAAAAATTGATTAGCAGAACTTTAAAACCACATCTACTATGTAAAGTACAATCATTTGCAGACTTATTTCACTAAGTTGTTATTGAAGGCAAATTTTAAAATGCTTATTTTTGCATTTTAGAATTTAGCTATAAATTTATTTATAGGTCATATCTATTTGGCTTTCATAATTAGTTAACAAAATTAAGATTTTCAATATCTCTAAACTATGTGTTTTAAATTTTTTATTGTTGCTTTTTGTCATCCATACCATTGTTACGCTTCAGAGAGATTGGGAGAAGATTAAAAGCAATATTTCTTCAAAAACAGTGAAAAGCAGTGGAGGTAAAAGCAGATCTACAGAAAGATTGGCTTGAGATTCAACTAAGCTTTGTTATCCCAAGGGTATCAATTAATGAAACTGGCAGGAGAACGATAAACAGATAGAAAATGGAACAGATTTGTCAGCATTTCTATAGCAGTCGATTTTCATTATCAATAGCAGTGAAACCACATTTGAACTCTTAAACCCTTATTCCCCAATGTACTATATGAAAAAAGAATAAATGGCCTTTAAGAAGCTGAAGTCAAGAAGAGTGGTTATATTAGATCAAGTGTACACAAGATCCATGTTGGAGGCAACACAATCTCAAAATATCCCAGATCACGGAGGAAGTTGAATAAAAAGTCTGACTGGATCTACTAAATTTTTTTATCTTATCTCAGCTGGATCCTCACTCTTCAAAGCAATCTTTTCACCATTCCTGATTGACTCTCCATTTCTACCATATGCCCCAAAGCAATATTCCCATCTTCTCTTCTCAAGCCACTTATGCCATCCTTCCCCTTTCTTTCTCAGCAGAGAACCTCACTCTCATGCTTGATGCCACAATCAAGAGCTTTCTCTCCTTCTAGTTCCATACTTCAAATTACCCCAACATTACTCCAGACCCTGCCCACTTGTCTTCCCTTTTGCTCCAATCTCAGAGTATGAGTCTATGTATGCTTTTGATTCAGTTCTCTGTGAGCTTGCTCCTTTGATCAACCCCTCTGTCTTCCTGATTTTCAACTTCTTATTTACTGGGTCCTTACTAGACAGCTAAAAACATACTCAGATTTCCCCCATCCTTAAAAACCTTTGCTTAACTCTAGCTACCTCTCAAGCATTGCTGTATATCTCTCCTACCTTTCATCATCAAATTTCTAGGAAAAGCCATCTGCTGCATCCCTTGCCTCCTCTTCCTCACCTGCCTTTCACGTTTTGTGCCTTTGTAATCTTTGTAATTTTCAGTATCATAACTCAAATGAAACTACTCCTCTAAGGTGACCAAATGACTTATATCAAATCCAGTGGCTATTTCTCAGTCCTCATCCTTCTTGATTTCTCTGGAACATTTAATATTTTTGACTACCCCTTTGCTGGATTTTCATGGCACTGATTATCTTCCTGCCTTCTGCTAATCCTTCTCAAACTCTGTTGCAGGCTTATCATCTATGTCTTGCTCACCACGCATGTGTATACTGAAGGACTTTGTCTCAAGCCCTTTCCTATTCTCTTTATATAATCTCCGTCTTGGTGATTTCATTAGCTCATATGGATTCACCTGTCATCTTTACATCCCAAATCTATACACACAGCCATCATTTCTCTCTTGGACTCCAATCTCATATCTCCAACTGCCTGATTGACATCTCTACCTAGATGCCTCTAAGGTATCTCAAACTCTCTAAGTCTAAAAATAATTCATTATCTTTCTCTCTGAACCCATCCCTCTTCTGAACTTCATCATTTTTGTTGAAGGCATTTTTTCCCATTCATTCAGG